AGAAATGGTGGAAGCTTCCACCATCTTCGATCACTTGCATAGGGTTGAAACTCCAGAATCTCATCCTCTCCACTTCCTCAGTACAATCAACCCGGGCAGTTCTACTGTGCAACCCTGAGCGGGCAATATTGCCGTTTTTTCATTATTTCTTCATTACTGAGTGAAACCGAAAGTCCCTCCCCATTCAGGCAGCCGTAACCGTGAAATATAATATAATTGTTCACTTTACTTTTTCCCGTGACTAGTAAAGCTATTTTTTTGAGGCAATCACAGCGAAGGAAGAAAAAAAATCGTTGGAATCGTTGAATATAATTGTGTTTTACCATTGAATTGCATTAGTTTTTCTTCAGCTTGGCGCAAAGTACAATCTACGAGTCGGTCCCCATCGAGTATCCGTCGTCAAGCGTTACGTGGAACGTCCACCATTATTGGAAGAATAGCCGAGATCGTTCATACTTCAACCGTAGCTTCCATTGAGTTAATGGCCAAGGTAGCGTTGAGGATGTGGGCGGAGCGTTCGAGAGGATCCCGAACGCTCCGCCCACTAGGCCAGCACGATTTCTCCCTTTGTAGTGGAGACGGTGGAAAGAAACATTCCATCAGACAGATGGTGCTGAACACCCTACAGATTCCTTACTATATGATTGGGTATTGATTGAACATTTCAAAGTTTTATATTTGAAGCTTGTCTATCATAGAGTATTATTTGAACCGCTGTGTTAGAGTAAATAATTGGAAGGTATTTCTTAAAAGCAATAAAAAGGATCCGGAAGATCATCTTGGAGAGCCACCATAAGGAGTCAACGTCAGATTGGTTCGGATAGGCACTGCGACTGTTTCTATTTCGGCTTACTGTTCCGACTTCCGATTTCCGTTTCCGTATTACTTATGACTTTCAGGACGTTTAAACCTTTTAAATCAGAGACCTCATTTCAAAATTATTGGTAGTTTGCATTTCACCTGAAATTTCCGAGTATATAGAAGGCTGACGGAAGCTCCATCTGAGATTTTTCGGAAAAAAGTCTAACCGACGTCAGAATCGACCATGGAAGCAAAAGCTTCTCATAAATGCTTCCATCAGCAATCTTGAGCACATTCTAATCTCGTTGCCTTGGTGATTCCAATCCGAAAGCAAATCGGTTTATTTAAGAGCTGATATACATAGAGCTATAACGGAAGTCAACAGCTTAACGTTACCACGGGAAGAGATCGGAAGGAAACTTGGAAGGAAGGGGAAGCTAAATGATTAGTGACGTGCAAGTAGCCTAGCCAAATACAGTAATGGGTCCTTGTGAATTCGATCCAAATTTTTTCGACTGAATGGGAAACCACAGTTGATAGTGAAGGCGATCGTTTCGTTCAAGCATTCACCTCGTCGCCAAAGATAGATATCTTTTTCGCGTCTGAAAAGAACGTCACTAGGAAAAAGCAAACATCATGGTAAAATCAGAAAAGACTCAAAGAGAAAATTGTGGAGTTCACAGCTCCTTTGTCATTGCGCCACACTCCTGGCTTCCTCTTCTTTGCACAGGTAAATGAGGGGGCATCTTTCTTGTCGAAATGAAAGAGTTCAGTGAGTCCAGGGAGAATTCCTTCCAGTGGCCATTTCGAGGAATCATGAAGATTCAGGGCAACCCAGGTTGAAAGGTTAGCAAGTTCCGGTCTGGGGTTAAGTATATGAACCGAAGACTTTTGTGAACTCGTCATATCTAACAGTCTCGAATCTGACCGCAGTGTTTCGGACTATCAAGTTTTAGCTAAAGTGTTTACAGAGGTAATTTTGTCTTCGGAGCTGGTTCGAGGAGGTCTAAAAGGCTATAAGAAAATGAAGAAAATAAGCATGCTTACTTGACCAGACCGTAGTTCTCGAATTTGATGCAGGCATGATTGTTTGACGGTACTTTGTGAACGATTTCGTATTCATCGGCATATCGACACATTGTTGGACATAGACTACGGATATTCTGAAAAACCTCTTTCGGCACTTCAATCCTATGCAAATGAAGAGCCGCGACTCTATTGAGGGCATAGTTTCTCAAATAGAATCTTTGTTGTAGCCTATGACTGTCATTATTGAAATTGTACAAACCGGAGAGTACTGTCGAAATCATATTTCACAAAAGCCTAAGAATGAAGAATAGCCATGCCTTTAAGAGCAAAATAATCGCGCTGATCCTTGAACTTCATAACTACTCTACAGGAACCTTGCTAATGCAGATTGTTTCCTGAAATTCAAACTGCTCAGTTCAACCTTCAGTTGTGGTTCAAAATCATCCAGACAACGTTCGCCAGGTTTTGTGGTGACCTTGTCGGCTACGACACTGCACAGTGTCCGCAATTCATCTTCTGGTTCTCGAGCACACCTCACGTATCGCGTTCCTGCAATTAGTTTTTTTGTCTTCTGTTTTGGATGAAACTTCATTGAATTAGGGCAAGTGCAGCACTTGAAGTTGTATGAAATCCCTGCTGTATTGGAAATCATGGAATTTTAGTTTCAGGAAACTCATATCGCCCTTTTGGAAACACAGTATCTCGGCCCAGGTTATACGATCACTATATTGAATAGTATTACCCACACAGGCCGACTGATTGTAGGGAATTGTCTTGGTCAGCTGTCTTTCTGAAAGTTGATCCCGGACCATACGTACATATGTTAGCCGCTCTACACTGCATTGCCCCATCTGAGGTAAGTCTAATAATACCGTACTCGTGTGATGAGAGTCAGGTAATGGGGTTATTTCAAAAAAAGTTCCACAACAACTATGAGAAAACGATAAATAAACTTACTATAGTGATAATCACGTTGATAAGGGTCCCGATGTTCACCAGGTGAAGTAAGATGAAACAACGCGGAAATGGCGATCGCCCAAAAGCACAACGACGACATGATGCGACAGAAACTCGACCGACAACTGGCCGGGAGCCAACGAGATATAGCATAATATGAACAGTCACAGAACCAGTAAACTACATGGAGAACAAGTTTGACCAGCGTAACAAAAGCCATGTTTGATAGCCCGTCGAAGGGCGATAATGCGTAAGCCGGCTAGTAGCTGGAACATAGCAATAAAAAGCTTCACCGTTCTCAAGATATTCGATAGACGTAAATAACAATAAAATAAACATGTCTTAATGTTGAACTCGTCGACTCTGCTGGATTTACTGCGAAGTGGCATTAGTAACTGCAGAGAACATGTCTCTTTTGCTTTTGTCATATTTGAATATTGTTTGAAAAAAACTGTCAGGATAAAGTCCAAGCAAGAAGAAGAAAGAAGAAACCAGGATAATTTTCAAAAAAAGGAAAAAAGCGGGGATTGAGATAGGATCGGTAATGGAAAAGGAAGCAACGATAGTCAAAGATGAAATCTGAAAGTAGCGTTTGTACAATCATTTCTGGAAGATAAAAAGCAGCCGTTCTCGCAGGATTGGTACCTTTCACCGGCCAGAGCGCCACAGTGTACGGCGTTCGGTGCTCTAAACCCCTTCCTCTGAGATTTCAAACTACAAAAAGATGAAACGGCGTATGGTGACAGAATCAGATCTTTCCTTTTTCTCTGCCTTCTTCACATTATTAATTAGTTCACATAATAATTATAAAATCAATACGAACTGGCTAATTGAACACATGTGGATGAGCTGTGAATCAGCACTTTTTTCAACAACGTGAAGATATTGTTAGGCATGAGTGGTTAAAGGCACAGTTCACAACGATTTTGAGGAACCCGCCGTTTTTATTCGAAAAGCGGAAGTGTAGAATGGGAAAGTGAAGAAGGCGAGGGAATTCTCCGATTTCGAAAAAAATATGGCTCCTCAAAAATAGAGGAAATAGAGGTTGACAAGATTGCTACGATGAAATAACATGGAAGGGATATTCAAACGAGATTTCAGATATTGTAATTGCACAAAGAGCTGAATACATCAAGCCAGAACCGTACAGAACTGTCTTTCGCTGTCGCTATGGGTCATGACAAGTTGTTTGAACTTCCTACATGGGTTCCCTTGTGATCGATGCAGNGGGCCTCAAATTCATCCCGTGGGGGAATCTCCGAAACCATTTTTTATCGTGAACTGTGCCTTTAAACCAACCGGGCACTCAAGTGGTGACTTAGCCAGTTTTCAAATCGACCCCGCTGATGCGTGTTATTTTCCTGTCTCGAGAAATCGAGCGTCTGATGGCAGATCTTCATACCGCTGACCTAGCCTCGTTGAAATAGCAATTAGTAGTAAACGAAGATCCCTAAAAGTTTGTTTATTTCAATTGATTCAGCGGCTTTTTAAGTAAGATTTTGATTGGGGTGCACGTTGGAAAGATGTCTCTGATGTACTAGACCATATCGATAATAAGTTTTATTTACAGCATAATATGACTTTGTACAATAGAACTCGAGCGACATTATAGACGTTTAGATCCGCCGTTTTCCACGAGAGAACGATAAAGAGCACGACGGATCCTATCATTATACTTAATTAAAGAGACGAAAAACTATGGAGAAGCCCTATGGAGAGCCAATAAGTGAGATGGGAGAGATTCTGTAGTACGCTGAGAGTGGAAGTCGCGTCCTTCAGAAGTCAGAACGCAACGCGGCTCTACAAGGAATTGATATGACGTGGATGGATGAGGACAACGACAAGGGGACAAGGAGATGGGAGAGAGTATAAACGAGAGGGAGGGGGGTCAGATAGGGACTGACTAGAAGCTCAACCAGTTGACTATGTAGCTGAGCCATTGCACTGAGTATAGAGACTATACAGTAATTATTATACTTAGTTAACATATAAGGGAAGAGCATGAGTTCGAATACTCGAGCTCATCGTAAAACCGTCGTGGGGGTGGTTCTTTTATTATATTTATGGCTTGGAAGGTAGTTTGGCGAAAGCGACCGGTTCAAGTGCGACCGGCACCAGAATGAACTAAACAAAAACATTGTATGACCAGAAATGACAAAGAAATCGATATCAATCGATAAGTCAACTGTCTGGAGTCTGTTGAAGTTGGGCGTTTGCTGCCAAATCCAGTACGGCCATCCATCGTAGTTGATTCTGTTCATCTTCGACGGTGACCGTATACATGCGACGGGAACCGACTCGAAGTGAAAAGGTGAACCGCTCGCCGCACAGCTTTACCTCGCAGCCGGGTAACGGCAGCATCGTCAGGGCANCAGTTGACTATGTAGCTGAGCCATTGCACTGAGTATAGAGACTATACAGAAATTATTATACTTAGTTACCACATAAGGGAAGAGCATGAGTTCGAACACTCGAGCTCATCGCAAAACCGTCGTAGGTGTGGTTTTTTTTATTATATTTATGGCTTGGAAGGTAGTTTGGCGAAAGCGACCGGTTCAAGTGCGACCGGCACCAGAATGAACTTGACGAAAACATTGCATGACCAGAAATGACAAATGAAATCGATATCAATCTATAAGTCAACTGTCTGGAGTTTGTTGAAGTTGGGCGTTCGCTGCCAAATCCAGTACGGCCATCCATCGTAGTTGATTCTGTTCATCTTCGACGGTGACCGTATACATGCGACGGGAACCGACTCGAAGTGAAAAGGTGAACCGCTCACCGCATAGCTTTACCTCGCACCCGGGTAACGGCAGCATCGTCAGGGCACAGTCATCCTGAATTGAGGGGTTGTTACTTCCAAGAACTGAAGCTGAACAGAGGCGAAAGAACATGACCACAGCGATCAAGTTAGGCAACTCACATCGCAGGAATTGTAGGAGTACAAACAGAAATCGTTGCGGACGACGAAGTATCGTTCGAAAGTCTTCCCGAGAGAGCCGCGGAACTAAAAAGGCGTACGTGAAAAGGGTATTAAAGTTCTCAATAAGGAAGAATTTAGATGAATACAAAACAATGAAGCAATCGCTTGGTTGCGAGTGATCATTTCTTAAATATACTTTTGGCTCAAATTTCAAGTTTTTGATGAGCTTTATGAAAATATTGGAAATGATTCAGACAAAAGAATAAAATACGGAGGTGAACTGAGGTATAGAATGATCCAACTTTTACTTACTTTAAACAAGAATTCGCTCTCCAAGAAAGGCTTCTATTTGACTTCATTTTCCTTAATACTGAGCCCTTCGCCCACAGACTTCAATAGAGGTTAGAACAAGGGAATGGGGGAAAGAATGTCCACGTTCACTGATTTTTGTGGGATCTGTTATACCTTGTACCTCGTAATGGTAAGTAGGACTGAGTAGCGTGGTCGTTCCCAAATGGGACAGCCCTTTTCCCATATGCAGATCTTTTCCCGACCTGTTTTGTTGCCTTGTAACCTTATACTATTAGTTTTTAATTGCTATTACTTATTGTAAAATGGCAATTTGTAATAAACGAATTTCTTTGATATATCCTTCCTTACCTTTACCCTACTTGCATGTAGAACTCCTTTTCCTTGAGCAGGTACTGCCAACACATTCGTCCTTCCGTTCGACTGAGCGGAAGCGGAACGACGGATTGATTCAAAGCCCTGAAAATGTCGAAATAACTCGTAAACTTGAAAAATGGAAACGTTTTATTGGCCAGGTTGGAAACCTTAATAAACCCACGAAGTTCTTGTGGCTACTGCGATTATTTGTTGCAGTTATTGATGCAAAGTTGTTTATGAAACTTTTAGTAGTCCAATGAATTGCGCCTACCATATTCTTCACACATGGCTCACAGATTCGATTATTTTTGCTTTCCGTTCGGTACCGTCCAAAACACTTTTTACACAGCTTCCTTCGACATTTTCCACATTTCACACCACGATAGAAAAGACTGAAGAAAAAAATTTCGCTGAGAAATTGGAAAAAAAAGAATAAGCACAGGAATTACCTGAACTCAGCGTCACAGTCAGCACAATTTCGACTTTCGGAATGATTATTATTAGTTTCAGACAGTGCGGATTTCTGTAATAGTTCTAAAGTTGACTGATCAGGGAGATCTATAAGAATTTATCGTAAATACTTACCACACCCGCCCCAAACGTTGCCGAATTGGCTCGACAATCTTCGATCACCGCACATATACTCTCCACCCAATCGTTCTTTTCTTTTTGAGTCTCTGAAAATATATATGATGGAATTTTATTATAAGTCTGGTATAAATTATGGGAGAATATTGCGCCTCGGACAGGAACCGAACCCTGACGCGGGCTTTCCGTGCACCACGCTCTTACCCTCATAGTTTATCTCCAATTCTTTACAATTTTGGGAACACCGTGTCGTTCAAGACAGAGGCAAAAGGAGCGAAAAAGATAATGAGGCAGAGAGGTAGAGGATGCTACTACCTCTCCACATATACCAAGGTATTTTGCAGTACTCTGCTAATATGCAAGTTCCCGCCGCGTTAGAATGCCATTTTTCCAAGTATAAACGTAGCACAAACCTGAGAACAGTTCAACGCATCGTTGAGGTCCGTTCCCGTCAGAGCCTCTGATGTAGAATGAATGCTCCCGTTCGAGGTTATCACCTTCACAAATCTGAAACAACAATGATTACGGTTCTCCTCGGTTCTGCAAAGGAATTTGATCTGACCTGTGTATGACATGCATGGAATACAGCTCGTAGACGATATTTGTAAAGTCCAATCATTTTTCGTTCACCGGCTAACAGAATGAGATCGTTGAAGAGGAAAATCGTTCGTTCTTCGGTTTTCTCGGTTGTCGACGAGATTTTCTCAAAAGAAAACAATTACAAAAATTATACAGGTGACAAGGTAGTTCAACAAAGGAAATAAACTGCTTTAAAGAGTCAAACCTGTTGCTTTCAAAAGTTCATTTCAAACTTTGGGTAGATTATAAAGAATTTCTTTAAAATTGATTTTCAAGTTTTTCAAATTAGTTCAAAGAAGTTAAAGAAGTTTTCTTGGACTAGAAAACATTAGTACCTGTAATGTGCCGGTTTTGAGTAGCTCTCGTCCAGGTGATACGAGTGATATGGAATTGCCCAGCTGCTCTTGTACTTCTATTACTTTTCCGAAGCCATCCTGTAAGCGAAAATGATTACAGAGGGAAACCAAAAAGTTCAGTTCCGGTTCCTTTGAGCTGTTGCCATATAACTGTTGAGTAAATGCGATATATGTATAATAATTATGCGATGCCCTTCCAGTCTTTTCGTGTTTTCTATCAAACAGCTAAACTTGCTGACGGCTACCCGCTGCTAACTAAGTGGCTGGTTGACCAACGGTAACTACCGTATTCAAAGATAGACTGCTTGGAGTACATATTTTCCAAAAAAAAAGAGAACGCTTCACAGGGCTGACCAGCTTCTTCATCATTTCGTTGGCATGAGATGCAGCTTGAAGGACGAGCTGAAGAGCGAGGGCCGTATCCTCGTAGTCGACATCTGATTCGAGCAAGTGTTTTTTGTACTCCTGAATAGATGGCTTTAGAAATCTTTTGTTTGTTGTTTATCTCTGTATCGAGTCTTGACAGAATGAATAAAATGGGAATATTATCAATCGTCGCTTATAATAAAATAACTCAGGGTTTCACCTTAAGAAGTTTCAAGTAACAAAAGAATAAGGTTTAGAATGCCGCCAAGCTTCGTGTGATCCGCTATAGATTTGCTCCCTCAGGTATGGATACACCCATCCGTCATCTATACATATCTAGCCGACCACGCCTACTCATTTCTTTATTTATTTATTCAAAAAACTATTTTTTTATCCATCTATTTCCCTACCTATGAATAGATAACAGTCTCAACTGGAAACTAAAGGAACTGGTCCTACTTCCCTTCATACGAATCCCTCGGGATTACTTAGCTCTCGAAAACTTCAGTCTTCATCATCTTTCGATACAATGAATCTTACCTGTAATAACAACTGATATCGCATGACTCTTTGAACAGGGCAGATTAGATGATGAGCAAGCGGGAGGCCTTCACATTCAGGGAGCTTCTGGAATTCTTCTTGTGATTCGATGACTAGTAAGTGGTACATGAGGCTTGATTAAAAAATTGAAGGAAAAATTCGAGTAAAATATTCTTACCGAATGAGAACATTAGGACATACCTCAATCTCTCGTACTACATCGGAAAATTTTTTCTTCTTTTTTAGATCCTCGAAAACACGTGACGCCCGTTCGTAATTATTAGTATATTCAGAATACATCTTCAAGAACGGTGCTTGTTTACGAACCACATTTGCTATCCTGAAATAGTTTCCAGTAAATAGTCTGAAAACAATTCCAATAGAAAGGAAAATCTCCATTGAACACTGGTTCTGTCTCCCAAACCCAGAAAAGGTAGGACAGACTGTGCGGGTAAGAGCCAATAAGGAAGGAATACACACAAATTTCAATATCCTGTCCATCCAGCTTGCGCCATGCAGCCGTCTTCTGTCTAGACCGCAGAGACATAATAACCCCCAATGGGCACAAGCACTAAGATCTGGAAGCGCCTTATGTCCGGCTCAACTCGTTGAGTTCGTAGACAGGTCTCTTACGAGCTTTTTAAGCTCGGAAATTGGGAGAAGGGCTAGTGGGAGGAGAAGAAAATCGTAGTAGACTCGAATAGGGTGTGGTCGGAGTGGTGAATTACTTGGAAGTACGAAATGTAGCGGTAAGCATAGCTTTGCTGATGATGAAAGACGGAGAATGACGGCGGCTCTATATCTCTGGTACCGCAACTATTCTCCTTCCCGGGGGGAGGCGACAGGAGCCCTGTTCATTCTTTCCGTTCTATAATAATGAAACCATACAAAATCTGCTCTACCGTACCTCTTGGTAGTGTGCCAATCTCTGCTTGCTTCCATAAGCTGTGGAAGAAAATGAGTATTGTGGAATTGATAAAGGCTAGAGATGTTGGCGAACAATTTGTGCTGTTTTTCTTTATCGATCGCGGCTTCTTTGACTACTCTCTGACGGAATATCTGAAAGACAACTTCAGGCTCTTACGATTAATTGGCATCGATCAATCGATAAGCGTTTACTCACCTCGTCTAGTAACCGCAGTTTCTCTACATAGCGTTGTTCACTATCCACAAGCTCTTTGGCAGCGAACCATGCCTGAATTTAGAAACCCATAAGAACTTCACAACCATTGGGTTGGCTGACATCTCTCAAAAAATCACCTTATCATATCTTTTCTTCGCTTCAGCCTGTTGCTTTGATTGCGCTGTGTATGGTTGGATGTCACTTTCACTGTCTGTGATTTCCGAGTAACACCTGAAGCAGAATTCACTCTTTTTTAGATTTTGGCTGAGAAAAAAATATAGAAAAAGTCGTTTTCTCTGCAAAAATTTCCATCAATTAATAGAAAAAACCGTTTGAAAAGCACATCGATGTGGTTTGCAAGTTGTATTTCTGNCCTTATCATATCTTTTCTTCGCTTCAGCCTGTTGCTTTGATTGCGCTGTGTATGGTTGGATGTCACTCTCACTGTCAGTGATTTCCGAGTAACACCTGAAGCAGAAGTCACGTTTTTTTGGTCTTTTGGCTGAGAAAAAAATGTAGAAAAAGTCGTTTTCTCTGCAAAAATTTCCATCAATTAATAGAAAAAACCGTTTGAAAAGTACATCGATGTGGTTTGCAAGTTGTATTTCTGTGAAAATAAATTTTGTCTGGGACCAACCTGCTAGCGCGATCATCGTCTTCCGTCTCCTCCTCGGACAAATCGTCGGCGTTGTCTGCCAGTTTGACACGATATCCTCCTTCTGGTCCCTGGAATAATATGGCTAGACCACCTGACCCAACACAGATTTTTCATGAGACTGATGAATTCATTCGAAAGTTCTGAAGGAAGAAATCATTCCGATAAATGGCACTCTTTAATATTCAAAAGAAAACAAGTTCATTAAGGAAAGATGAACTAATTCGCCCAATAATGAGATGTTGAGCGTCCGTTAGTGAGCCCTGCCAAAATATGTTAATGAGTGGAGCCAATAGAGCAGGGGGACCCATTGGTTACGCCATTTCGTCCAACTAATACTTTTCCGATCTGGATACGTTTGTCCTAGGTACAGCTGAAGGAATACCTACCCAGTGCATTACCGATTTGAAAGAACAGCCTGGACTGTGTGAAAAAGTTTACGGCAATGATTTTGAGAAAGACCTCTACAGACTCCCGAAGTGAAACTTCACGAGGATGGTGGACTTCAGACAAAACGGGTGTTGGTACATATGTTTCCTAAGATCGAAGGCAGAGTTGGAAGCCCAAGAAAACTTGGTATTACAAACAAAAGCAGAAGCTAAATCTTTTCCAAATCAGCTGAAACAATGTTGGAAATGAAATTTTGCTCAAAAGCTGTAGTTCTAGTCGAATCAGAGAGTACTTTGCAGACCAAGATTTGGCAAAATCAGAAGCATTTTGAAGCAAATTGTTTGGCAAAAAGTTTGTAGTAAACTACAAGTATATCGTGTATATGAAAAGTAAACACAATAAGCAGAAAAGCATGCTGCCAATGCAATTCGTACAATCTGGTAGAAGAGGTGTGTTACCAAAGCGCCTGAGCGAAGAGCGGGTCAAAAAGCGAGTTATGCAAAACATATGATGTTGTGACGGAAGTTTTTTACCATCGCTTACAACATAACCAATGATGGTAGCTTTTTCCATCCAGAAAGTCATTTTTTATTTATTTCTGATGTCAAATCAAAGTTGGAATATAAGTCATGGGATTGATTAGTGTCCTGAACCCTGATCTTTCCAGCTAAATACGGGGTAAAGGAATATTATAATAAATTAGGGTTGAAGAGTAAAATGCAGGTTTGGCGAGCCTTATAAATTATTCTGGTACAAGCTCTTTGGACAAAATAAGTAGCTCTGCCATGTGGTAATGGTTATAGGCTACATGACAGTTTATAACCTTCAGCTTGATGTCTCAAAATTTTGGGCAAACTTTATTAAGCTACTTTTTGATGAGATGATTACCTCATTATAATTCACAGTAACAAAACTTGGTATTATAATCCTTTTTATCAATTTCAGGTGTAATCCCTTTTATTTACATGGATGATCAATGAATCGAACTACAATAGTATTTTAGTTCTTATGTCTTTTGTAAGCTGCTATGTTTTTTGAAACTCGTTGCAGCGATTCCTTTTGAATAATCGATAATCGATCGGTACGTCTTTGACTCACTTTGTATTCGACGAAAGCCTTGAAAGTGCTTTTCGACATCTGTCTCACGCCATTGATGAATGTCTCATGTTTAGAGAAGTGTGAACTGAAAGGATAGCAAATTTGAAATTTAACGTGCCATGGAACTCGAAAGAATAAGAATTAATTAGTACAAAATGATTTTGTAGAGGTTGAAAGTGTCATTAGCAGTTATTCCGTGAAATATGTATGTCAAGACCAATACATATCAAGAAGGGATGCGCTAAAAAAGTTTATAATTATTTTCTTATTCAATAGAATACTAAATTCTATCCATGAAAAATTGGCCCTACTGCTGCAGTAGCACTCGTGGTTTCAGAGGTGCTTGAGGGTATGGGGTTAGCAACTATGGGAGGTCAAGAATCTCTACTTTCTTCTCTGTCAAGGTTTCTCACGAACCAACTTACCACTGACCTTGAGTCTGATGAGCCCAAGTCGCAACAGAGAATTTCTTATCAAAAAGTTCTTCTTTATTATCTTTGTTTGGGGGTATGTTGACGTTCAAATAAAAACTCAGATTGGTTGTTTCTACTCACATACTGCCTTGCTTTACTGTAAGCCAAAAAAGAATCTGACTTATATGGACTCCAGAAATCAAGGCCTCAGGAATCTAGTTTGCACACAGCTGATAGGAGATTCNACTGCTCATTCTCTATCGTACAATAAGGCATTTCTGATGTGTAGCAGCTAATGGCAAGAGTAATTTTTTCAGTGAAAACCTGTTTGAAAGACCGCAGCTATGAGAAATGTCGTAGTCTCGCGAGGAACGATGCAGTAAATCTACAAAAATAGCTGAAATCGATCGACTTACAAAAGAGTCCGGCCGTGGAGGAAATCGATGTCAAATCGGCATATGAAAACTACGGAAGAGTCAAAATCATAAAGGATTATGCAAAATGCGGGTTGTCCAGAATGTGGCGGAACAATATGGGAAAAACGCTCAGCACCATGAAATCATCTGCGCCTCGTGGTCGTTCAACCGGAACAAAACCATCGCGGAAGGTGCCTTAGATTCAGAGAAGTCTCAGTTCCACATCCCATGTGAGAGAATGCGGGCTTGAGGGGCCCCGTTCGGATTAAAATTTATATATCAGATTTTATACCTGGATTCACAATAACATAGAGAAATTATTAATCAAGAAATTAAGTTCACTGAAAAAATCAGGGTTCCGTAAGTCTAACCTTAATGTTCTATGTTTTATACTTATTCAATGATTTACTTATGGGTTCCGTTATTGCAGTATTTCACTGTCAATTCAAGGTTACTCTGCCTATGCATCCCGAAAGCTGCATTGTAACTAAACTGCTGAACATCGCTTTGGTTAGTTTGACAGCCAATTAGCTACCGCTGTTGACCAAACCAAATACTTGGTGCTGAAGAAAAGTTTTTTTAAGAATGCGCCACGCACTCTACATCTGCTCAACAAGATCTAAATCTCTCAGGCATGCACCATCCCAATTAGTTAACACGAAAAAATGGGTTGCTTGACTGGCCCGAGCAAAATTTAGTTCATCCACTTATGTATTTCATGACCAAGCCCCTACCTCACTTATGACCACGTAAACCAAGAGGATTGGCTTTCATTTGGTCAATCTCACGCGGACCTCCCACAAGAAGTACATAAAATGAATATGAAAGTGAGTATTGGGCTCTGAGGAAATTCAATTCAGTTTTGAACCCCTGAGCTAGCCCCTCTCATGATCACCTTTGATACAAATTCAAATATTCGATAAAGTCCGATAACAGTAGCTTCTAACGCAGGGAAAGCTCCGTCCACTTCCGTCTCTTCACTACTCCCAATGGAGAGACGTTCCACAGACCGAGAACTCTGTCCTAATAGTCTCATAAGCTTACCCGAGAACTAAAATGATCGCCATTTGAAGTCCACGGAGCATTCGAAATAACAGATCGCCGGCAGTCAGCATAGCGAAATAGTTGTGATTGAAGAAGGCGGGCGAAAAAATCGCAGCCGACATTTTTCACACTGTTCGCCACGGATGCAAGCCGATGGCCAGCTGACGGATAGCGCATAAATCAACCTTGTTTTTAAATTTCCGACACCGTTCGCCAAATATCAGCCTTCCGTTTCAAAGCGGTACCAGTCGGTTCGGGTTAACCACCGACAATCCGGTCATCTGGTCACTTTGACTAACAAACTGAACTTAAGTCAACACTGAGGGATGTTCAGTGGGGAAGGGCTGTACCATCGTCTGAGTTAACCTTATCTAGAAGACTTTACATCGAGCGGGCCCTGCACAGTCTTTATAATTACGGCGCAGGTTACTCCGGGGTACGGCCTTAGTGAGCAAATCACTTGCTGCTCCGTGCAATCCTGGATGATTGCATTTTGATTAATAGGCTCACCCGAGTGTTTACAATAACACTTACTTCCCGCTACCCAAAGTTACAAGCAAAATTCTGGGCGAGGACTGAAGAGAGGNGGGGGGGGGGGGATGTACAAAATGGCGCCTCTGCCATACCGTACAAAAAAAGGACTGTTCTATGGAACAACACCTCGTCAGGACGAGCCTTAATATGAGCCCTGCGGGTCTGTAGGACGGCTATTGATTTGTTCAGGATAATAAAGAGTACAATTACCCATATGGGCCAAAACTAGATGTTACTGTGAAGCAGATGATGGATTCCAACGGCACTTTGAAACCCAGAAAGTGAGAACGTGTGGCGCAACCCGAATAGATTTACTCTACAACACGTGCACAATTATTTCAAAGGGAATGGCAACACAGAATTGAAATTGGAGTTGACTGGAACTTGAGTCGACTTGCCATGGGTCGAATGATTTTTGCTTTAACTTGAAAGAGTTTCAAAAAGTTTTTTCAAACTCACCTATAACTTTTACTACTTCGTACTCGTGTCGTCGTACTGCCATCGGGATTCGTAATCACCTCAGTTGTCGATGCCGGAATCAATGACGATTGTGTACGCATCTGGGCAAACAGATCCGGGAACATTTTCACTAAATAATAAATGAGTGGATTTCAGGGAAGGTTTTTTTTTCAGAAAGCACTGAATTACTCAAGAGGGATCAGATACTCACCCAGATTATCTTTTTCCTTTGACAACATATTCATGAAGGTATCCGGTACTTGGCCGAGAACACACGAGATCGCCATGTCCTTAATAGTACTGACTTACAAAATGGCTCAGGGTAAGTAAAGTCGAATTCGGATGACGGAAGGAATTGCAAAAAGGCAGACGCAGGAGGAGATAGTGTCAGAGATAGTAAAAGTAAGGAGTAAGACTGATTCTGCTCACTACCGCTCTTCAGTTTTTTTTTTCAGGAAAACGGTGAGCAACATATTTCCTCTTGGGGGTTAGCATGGACATTGAGCGGGCTAATAAACTACTCCATGGTGCTAATCCCTCCGAATCACGCATTTCCGAAAGGGAGGCGGAGGCAGAGCGCAAAGATGAGCTACATATGTATAAACTCCTTTCTTCCTCTGCACACATTTCTCCCATGAATATTCCTTTCTATTATTTTTTATAAACTTCTAAACAAGTAACCTACCGTACTTACCCTCTCCAACAAATTCCTTCTGATAAAAGTCCAAGTAATCATCAGAAAAAAGCTCACCTGTGCATTATTAGGGTCCAACTGCAATTTCTGATTGTTCTGAGTAATCTCGACCGGTCGAAGACCTTTAATATCGCCCTGATATCGTTCACATTTTTCCTCCACTTTTGCTTCTTTACCGTTCGACAATTCAAGACGTCGTGATGTCTGCATACAGTCGAATTTTATCTGAAAGTATCGATTTATCGATTAGACTTAAATAAATATGTAGTAGGTAGGAGGCTTTTAAGGTGATCTATACACTCTTCTCATGTCCTTCTGAACAATGGTTACTGGAAGGCCCCAGAAAAGTTGACCATTTTTTGTTTAGACTCTTCAAAACAACACAATATTTACTGTTTGAATTCCCGCCCGGAAATGCTTATAAAATATTCCAGCGGAATTCACGAATCTGTTGCGTTGCCTTCCGTCATCGTCAGATCCTTATTTTTCTGTCACGTCACCATTCATATGTTTTCGCCAATAAGCCCACTGTTATACTGTTATAAAATCATTTTGGCCCCACCCCCTGTACTAGGAGTGGGTTTCGATCGTTATTCCTTTGTGAAGTGATAGATTCACGAAGGGAGTCCAGTGACTGTAACCAATGCAAAGGTGTATGTTGCACTAGGATTACATAGCATACACAATGCTGTTAAATCATCGACGTGAGAGGATTTTAAGGATCAAAAGAATCCAAAAAAGAACGTCAGCTCGCCATAATACTTGCAAGCCTTTTCGCAAGCGCTCATAAATTCACCAGAATACCCTTGTGTCAGATGTATTGGAAGCAATAACTACTTTGCAATCTATACTAGTTGAAATTGTTGAGCTAACACAGATAAACTTCTTCAGCAAGCAAAGGTTCTACCGCCTACCGTGTTCTGGGAGCAAAGTCCTAGGTTGATTACTCTTCCCTTTGAAGCCCCTCCAGCTGGGCCTTTTCCTGACAACTTCCATGTCTTCCTTTACTTGTGACGATGAGAATGCAGAATTGATCGGCACCCCTACTAAGTACCACAAAATAGAGTTATAGGCCAGTTTAGTACAAGTACACTACAAGTCATTGGTCAAACGCGCGTTCAAAAGCCAGCACGAATTTGAGCGGACACAAATGCACTGCGTACCCCCAATACATTGTCTGAGCAAAATATAGCCTACGTAAATCTCTTTTTATTCTAAATTATCTATCGATTTCACAAAAAGCGATATAAAACGAATTCTGTGAGAGTGGAAGGGAACTTTCAAATCCGTGTTTAGGCATAAGCCTGAGGATGAGTACACAGTACCTTTTTATATTCGCTATGGCCACCCATCTATCAAATTTCTGTGAAAACAAAAGCAACAAACCGATGTGATTTGTTCCGAGCGATCGAGTAACAATTTTAAATCCATTAAGAATACAATTTAGGAAGGTTACCAGACACAGCCGATACTGTCAGCGAATATTAAACGCGAACAAAGGGGAACAGAGGCGTTTCGAAATCATCATTCGACAAAGGCGAGGCCATCATCGAGCACTTTTTTTTCGTTTCTATTATCCTCATGGGGTTCGCCCACTGGTTTGTTTGTTCAACGACTTGTCTGCAACAAAACCCACACTCTGCTGCGTGCTCGTCGGCACTGAGTCGCCCTGTATCTCTGAGGAAGCCAGGGAAGCATAAGATTGGAGGATTCCCCTAATTTGGACTATGTAATTAACCAAAGTGGACTGAACTCGAAAAAACTGGCTGTTCCCTGAAGACGACTCCAACCTTCGAATGCCATAAAGTCGAAAGTTTGGCCATAGTGCACCATGAAGGGCTTGGGAGCCCCCATTTCCAATACCGTAATCCTTTTCACGAGCGAAAGGCTCTACCTATTGATCGGGCTGTTTTGCAAGAAATCCTATACCTTCCCTGGGAAGGAATACTATGTAGGCACGGAGAGGAACGATTGACATCCTATTTTCATTTCGGTTGCTGTCACATCTCAACAAAAGGAGTGAATCCTCTGCACGGAATTAAGCTACCCCACATGCACAGGATTTGCAGCGCTGCTTGACCCGTTTTGGATGCGCCATGCAGATGACTTTCCCCCTCAACCGTAGAGAGCTTCAACAGAGAACTTCGAAGGGCGAACGATTTGTAGAACGACTTCTCCAACAGAACCTGGAGAACAGAATGAAATAACAAGATGTCCATCTGTTCTAAAGGAAAGGGGAGATAAGGGTCGCAGAAAAGCAAAATATTAAAATGACCTAAATGTAGCAAAAATTGATTCGAAGTCAGGAAGTAGGAGGATTGTTCTGTATGTAATGAAACATAAAAGAAAATATAGAAAAAATATGGAAAAATATAAACTATAGAAAGATAGAAATATTTATAAATCTGCTAAGGGTTTTTTGCTTTCTTAGGTTTCAAATAAAAATGGTAGTGCAAACAACAACAATACAAAACACTCATTTTGACTTAATGTTCTTGTTAACTGCTTTTACTTCATAGTGGTAAGGGATGCTAAAGTCCCACAAGTGGACAAAACTCGCCAACCCTTTAAGACGGAATACTCAATTTATCCATGATTAATTTAATTCGGACCATGATTCTCCAAAAATAAAGCTAAAAGGACGTGAGGGGAGAGGAAAATGAAATATGGGAAAGCAATCGTTCCCCAGTGTTTCCATAATCCTCCTCTTCGAACATCGTTTTAAATGTCCGTGCAAAATAGTCAGTAAATAGATGAAGCCTTTCTTTCAAGAGATTACGGTACCGAAAAAACTGCTTTTCAGTTATGGCCCAAGCTCTACTGTGGTAATTAGGAAGGAATTTTAAAAGTTCCGAAGTCTACTCGTTTTTTTCTTCCTTTTTGCGCAAAGGTGCGGTCGTGAGGTTTCAGTGGGCGGGAATCTCGGTAGTCCAGAAAAACCAGAAACAAACGTGAAAAAGGGAAGAGGGAGTTACGTGATCCAGTAAGTTTAACACTGTAAGAAAAACAGAGCCTTTTTTACGTAGGATTAGTTCAGCGGCTCTTTTTTGTTTTAGCGCCCGCCCAGATAAGTCCACTCCCAGTCCATAGCAAGAAAAAGAGACGTGACGACCCATCTTATTGAACTTCTAAACCGTAGTCGAATATCCGAAAGTACGGTGTCCGTTGTAGAAAAGCGAGAAGCCGTAGATTGCCGTTCGACGCCAACTAAGTTGCGTAGGCGGAATTGGAAAATAGTAAGCCATTCATACCTCCTCTAAAGAAATTGGGTAGACCTTGGTGGCTATTTCTAATAATAACTCCAATTAAATTGCTGTGCAGGAAGGTTGGGGTAGAAAACAGAGCTGACTACTTACTATTTGTACATGAAAAAAGTATTAGGTTGATGCATAATTATTGCGGATTTTTTCGCGGCTTTTTTCACTTGATAGAATTTTAATATTGAGTTCTGGTTTTTTTNATATTCGCGAAATCAGACTCAACTACTTCGAGAAAGGTTGGAAGGTGGCAGAGTCATTCCGCGATCTCAGTAACTTTCCGGCGATGGAACAACCAGTCAAAGCCAACCAAGAAATGGGATCTGCTCCTAAAACTGCCATATTCATCAGCAGAAACTTCTATGGGTCATCTCGTCAACCGTTCGCTGAAAAAATGGCTAGGGAATAGGACTTCAGTCGATTTGGATGACTTGATGACCTATGTCAAGACGTGGATCGTCCCCAAAGATCAAGGCTTCTTCGCTTTTGTATTCCGACTATCTGGATAATGGGAAGCAGTGCTTGACGTAGATCATGGATAAGTTCCGGAGTGATTTTTTGTACACGATCTTGTTCAGTATTTTTATCGTTTCGCTAAATAAAATTTGTTGAAAAAATCCGCAATAATTACGCATCAACCTAATAATTTCGCCATGCCGGTGCTTACCAGCGGTAATTGTGTCCCCCTTTCCCTCTGGTTAGGAGAAGGAGCCGATATTTGGAATGGTCCAAGAGATTTCGAGCTTCTCTAGTGATTCGCCCTTTTTGAGCCTTTTATGGGGCCAAAAGTGGACTATGTGGCCTAAGGCCCAGACTGTTTCAAGGCATACCTACAAACTCTGTGTGTTGAGGTAAGAACAAGCTCAACAAGGATCGAAAAACGTAAATCACAATGATGGTGCTGTCCACTGTGAGAGGCCGTGATTCCGCAGCTCCTTAGTGGGAGACTTCGTTCTTGGGTGATTTTGAATGGCTCAAGGAGGTGAAGGGGAATTTCTCAATCACAGCATTCACTTTTCTATGGGGATGCAAAATTGCTCGGACTTTTCAAACTCGAAATTGGCCCTCTTCAAGATTCGATTCTGCCCCTACGACAGAATTTGCTTTTCCAATTTCAAAATAGCATCCAATGAATCACCAAATGTTTTTGTTGAAAATCTCCCTACTCCCTCTCCCGAATCAAACTCTATGAACAATATTCTAAAGTAATTTTGAATATACATACCAGTCGTTGCTTGGTTATTTATCAAATGAGAGAAACTTTGCGAGATGGACTGACCTTTCGACGAATTGTTTTCGTAAGCTGCTCGGTTCCATCAGCGGATTCGATCCGATAAGTAATCACTTGCACTCGACATCCGTCTGTTGCATCTATTTCTTCTTCCTAAAAACAAAATTCTTCAGAATGACCTCTAAGTCCTCAGAAATTTTCTAAGAAAGCCTTCAACAGCCTCGGGAGGTCTCGTACCCTCAACGCTCTAGCGATAAGCAAGATAATGCACCCAAGGGTGGTGGATTTCGATGACTTGACAAGTGGAAATCAACCTACACCTAATCCACCACCCTTGGGTGCACTACCTTTCTTAGGTCGATGTTATACTCTCGGAAACGTTCATTACGAAATGATTTTATTTCTTTTTGATATTATATTGTCATTTTTATAGATATTAACTACAATTGTGAGGACTATTGCCAGCTTCAGGACAGGTCCTGTAGATACAGCGATCAATAGAAGTTTTTAGAATTTCAAACATCATCTAAAACCTAAATAACATCTAAAAATTTTAGAAGTAATAAATAATTTCGAAAGCAACTGGGTCCCTTCAAATCTTAGGCAATGGATTTGAGGTAGAACGAGGGCGCAACGGATATGCGCAACACGCAGGAAATCCGAATGAGGGTTCAAGGTAAGCATGTTTCAAAGTATCGTTCTTCTACTGAGTCCAACTTTGAACCCCCTTTATGGTTCAGATGTCGTGCGCAGGGTTTTATGAAGTAGGAACATTACTCTTGAAATAACAGGAAGGCTAGAGCTTATAAATGACCCTGCAGATGATAAATGGCCTCAGGAAGAGTTAACAAATAGGGAATTTGTGAAAAAATATTAGATGGACACTATAAACTTTGTTGGTCACAATTACATTCAGAAGTACAAGAGAAAACTCAAAAGGCAAGTTGCCTGTTGACGAAAACTACTACCTTGAAGGGTCCGAAAAACTTCATAGCCTCGCCGTCAAATCACCGCCGCTCACTTGAGACGAAAGGATTGGAAATGACCGACGGCGAAGAGCCATCCCGGTCATCCCATGAATCGATCAAAAACTCTTAGACTATAAAGTGGCCCTCCGAAGCCATTTAGGAAGGAAGAGAGGAATTTTCAAGAAGACGAAAAAGGGGAGTGGCGGAGGATAGAAATTCCCTGCACAATTTCACATTCACGGCCAGTATGGCGAAAGAAAAGCAACGTAATCGTACTAGAAGGCTAGTATTCAAGAAGAAAAGTGTTAAACGTGGCCTGCAATTCACAAAGGTAGGATGAGGAAAGTCGGAGATGTGTTCAGCCTGGCAGAAAAATCCTTTGGACCACTTAATCAGAATTGAAATGGAAGCATCAAGAGGTCGAAGAGACTGCAAACCTAAGAAATCCCAGGATTCCTGTAGTTCGCAGCTGAAAAACTACGTGGGCACGCAAGACAGAGATACTGACAACCAAGCGTGCGGTCGCGAAAAGGTCTCAGAGCTTGGTTGTTGGTAGCTATAATCAATTCTTCTATGTGTAATTTCTTTTAGGTCAGATCTTTTCTGGTAGTTTTTTGAGAAATACGGTAGGTGAGCTGTGCTAGTCATGAGAAGGAATCACAAATTGATATGGGGCCACATAAATATGTGTAAGTAGTCTGGGAACCTTTAAGAAGAGGTCATTCGAAGATGACGGCATCCCAGGCTTTTCCATATTCATCATTGAATCAGAAGGTTCTCAATTTACAATTAGCCTCGAACAATCACCGTCTAAGGCGCGAATTTATGTGTGAGTGATTCACTCACGGATGTCGGATGATGAATACCGTAATGCCTTGGAAGAAAAAACCATCCGAACGGGAACCAGTGACTGATTCGAATGTGTTCGGGGTCGGGAAAAGCATTTGGGAAACATGAAAGGCATCCATTCAGGGTGATGGACAATGAGAAACGGAGCTGGGGACGCGGAATCATTCCATAAAACGAACTTGCCTCACTATAAATGCAAATCCAGACCCCTCCAATTAATCTCGATCTATCATATCGATAGAAAAGGACGTACACGATATATAAGCATAATTCCGAGCTCTATCGGGACCTACCTCAACGACGTCGATTAATCGTCCTCCTTGCAGGTCAATGTCATCATCAGTCGGTGTAAGGGCTGCCTGTGTCTGAGCGAATTGCATCAGATGTGGTGGCGGTTGGACGACGGACATCTCACGACGTGCCAGATGACCGACGGCCCGATGCCACGGTATTGGCGCTGAAAGTTAGAGGTACATAGAGGTGTGCACATAAAGCTCGATCATCGTCGTTTACGGACATACATAAAAGCAGGGTCTTGACGACGGAATTTGGGCAAACATACAGTAACACCTACAGATGGCAGAATAGATTTACACAAAACATTGATTTTGCCCCTATTCTTCTCTGGAATACTTTCACGTTTATAGGAAAGTTATGCGAAATCAGAATTTGTCTTAAATTTTCAGGTCCAAAAAAAAGCTCGGAGCTTTGGGAGAAAATCGACCTTCTGTGGGAATGCTGAGGGAGTTCCCCTAGCTCTCCCTCCAAATGATAAAGGCGATTAAAATGAGTAAAAAATATGGAAACTAAAATGATAAGATGCTAAATAATTTTGAATTGACTGAGTGCGCGCCACGCACCCAACATCCACCCAAAAATGCCACGGTATTCGGATACTTTCACTGCCTTTAAGATGGCTTGATTCTGAGCTAGTTGGTGATCGAATCCACTCTATCCATTCAGGCTATTCGGACATACGAAAAATCCATCCATAAAAGAAGAGGCTTCCGTTCAGCGAAGTAGTCCCATACCAATAAAATGCCTCTTTTTGCAAGCCACAGGCTTCCATGGCCCTCCCTAGACTAGCACTTGAAACATTCTTATTAAAGAAGTCCGTGTGCATCCGAATTCAGCCCAGAACTTAGTGGCTACTTATGTTTTTATACCCCGCTCTTTGATAAGAATTGTTCCAGACCACCCGAAATTAGGACGACAGTGTGGAATGCCTCTACATTCCTTTGTTATCACTCAGGGCGTGCTGTCAAAACAGGAAAACAACCCCGTGAAGAGGGATGGAGTACAAATTCTCGAAAGGTCAATGTAGATTACTCTAGGCACCGCCATGTTCATGGCCCATTCGCTTGCATTCCATTTCAGGTGAATCTCAGACAACATCGATATCGAAGTAATAGACGAGCTTCATCTTCTACGGTGAAATTGAGCAGCTACTGCGGATTAGAGACGCCTTTAAGATTTTAGAGATAAGAAGTTGAGTTGGCGAAAGTGAAAAAATGATGAATCGCACAGCCACATGCGCTTTCTGACGGGCAACGGACAACCGATTCGACCCTCCCGTGTCGGCACCACCCGGGGGCCATCTATTGCTGGACCACGCCGATGGACTAATCGGAAAATTGCGGGGACATCACTGGCCATTGACGGACGGACGGACGGACGGACAGGAACTAAAGATCATCCTTCATTCGGTTAGCTGTGAAGTGGGAAATTGGACATTACGGAAGCTGTGAAGTTAGGTGAAAGCCCATCTCGGGAAAGAGCTGGCGAACGGAAGGGAAAAATAGAAAAANAAAAAGGAAGTCGAGTAAAAAAGGAAAATAGAGATAACAAAAAAGCCTTTAGAATCGTAGTGAGAAAAAAAAACAATTTAAATATGCCTCTGTAGAAGTCTTGTTAGAGAAAAGAAGCTTCGGTAGTAAATAGGCGTTTAAGATGAAAGCTGAAAATCCTTGCTCTCTTTAATAGAACTCTTTCCTTGAGAGATGAATTTTCTCAGCTTTTTTCAGCTTTTTAGTGATTTGCATAGCCCATTAAGGGCATTTCTAAAAATGCAATCTCGCCGAAGAGGATTTGAATTGGAACTGGAGATCCCCGTGGATTAGTGGAAGTCCTTGAAAAGGGATTCTTTCCCAACACCATCGTATATAAAATATGTTGACAGTATAAGAAAAGAAAATGACTCGTGAATGAGGGCCGAGGTCTAGCCCAATGGCTTCCCCACGCCATAAGCACAAGGAAACACTGTGAACTGTCGAGGAACGGGAGGTCTGAGCGGCCTGAATGGTGAGAACGATGAAAATTTCCCATCGTTAAGGCCTTCATGGCAGGCTGAAAACCATAGAAGAACGATATTCCCGGGAAACATTAAGAGGGAATGAAGTGAAACACTGCTGGAACTGTTCAAGCCATTGAATATATTGATTTACAAAAAACCTCTGTATCCAGAGAAGCACATTACCTAAGATTCTCTCCTGGATATTGGAGATTAGAGGTTACTGAAGGAAAGTGGTCAAAACCTCAAAGTGAGCGAAGTTTCAGCAATACAACTCGGTAAAAAAACGCGCCACACTTTCAACTATCGTTCAAGATTTTGAAAGGTATTTGATGTATATGTAGAGGTCGAGCTGATAGAAAAAAGCGCCCAGTGCAGCCGATTTTCTGCGAATAACTACCGTAAATATGAGATGTTAAAAAGCGCCACATGCCTCACTCCAACTTCGATCTAGCAGTACAAGTCACAGTAGGATCGCGCCACACACTCTACTTTTTTCAAAATATAAAGAATGTTAGGTTACGATACATCGAAGACGCTTCAGGCACTTCCCAATCAATTTCACTCACTTTCAACATCGTATAATGTAGTATTTAGAAGTATTGTAGCATGCCTCGGTACCTTTTTGCAACAGGAGAGGCGTGGCCTGTAGATGGGCGGGTTTCGTTAAACGAAACCGTCGTTTCAAGTTCCTATTTCCCAATTACATATGATCGCATTTTCAGCTGGGCAACAAAACCAGGTCCCACTACTGAGAACGGTAACTGGTGCAAACCACTCCATTCTAGAAGCATTCCAATTCTACCATGAAAACGTAATTCTCTAGGTATTATGAGGGGCATTGCCAAGTGGATGCGGAAGTGTCCAGAGGCGCCGCTAGAATAAACATGATAGAGAATCCGATCCTAGATCGAGTCCTCTTGAAGCCATTAATAACCGATCCAATGTAATGAAAGCATATTCGTTTGGGAGCATGGAGAAGGACAGGACTGATTATGGCAAGCAATATAGGGACTGGAAATACATCCTTGGGGCAATTGAAATGCAATTCCGAGTAGAAGTTGAGCACATAGTGCACCCCAAGCTTGGAGCGACCAGTATCAGTAGCTACGTAACAGTTCAACTGGTATTCTGTGAGGCTGGGAACCAAAAAAGCTATACGAAATGCTAAGCCTCGTTTGCAAGGATTCGAAGGTAAACCAAGTAAAATCATTGGGATGACATTAGAGCTGAGCTTTGAAAGAACGGCTTGCTGTGAGGGGATGGGAAAAAACCTTTGTTTGTCAAGTCACCAATAGGTGGAGTACCAGCAGAAACGACCGTGTCAACAAAAGAAGATTACGTACAGTTACGTGGCAAACAAAACTCTAAACGTTTAAGAAATTAGCCATGACAAACACATCTCAGATGATTCTCCAGAGAGCCATTCCGTCGTGCGTGCTAATCAAAACCCGGAACGGAAAAAAAGCTTGGCACATATGTCGACGACGCGATCACAAGCACTTTACGACCTTCTCGAAACTATTCAGGGGGCTGCTGAAGCTGTCGTCGTCGTCGAAGAAATGGTAGGGACGCGTCATGGGAGAGAGTCAGAGGACTAGTTGAAATTAGTTAGAGCCGAAAAGCTAATTGAAAAGAC